CTACGAATCCAATTTTTAATATTGAATCCGCTGTGCAAGCGCCCTCGATTTAATTCTCTTGATGCGCCTGAACAATAAAATTTATGAATATATAGCGCTTAAATGAAAAACTTATGAACTTACTGCTTAATTGAAAAACTGCTTATAAACTTTTCATTGTGTTTTTGGTCAATTTCAATTGAGCAACTCCTTTTTATCAATAAGTGCAATGCTTTATGTTGAGTAGGTCTTTCATTTATTAAATTATTTTCAATTCAATTCTATTATCACTTTTTGTAATCATTTATTTGTTTATTTTCAATCATCATGTTTATTTATACGGTTTTTCAAAGTTAATTCATAAGCAGAAATAGTATTTTTAATACAATATATATGCATAAAGCAACTCCGCGATTCAATAATCGCGAAGAGCTTGTTAAAATGAGAATGGCACTATACAGTTAGATTTCATTAGTTTTTAATAATATGGCATAATATTAATTTTTGCCACATACTCAGTTTTAGATATCTGAAAAATTATCTTTAAAACGCTGTAAAGTTTTTAAAAATTGAATAAAGAAAAGCGGAAAAACGTAATTTTGATGTTTATATGAAGCGAAATTCGACGGTGTATGGCGTGGCTGCATAACCACTGCACATTAACAGGCACTTTTCCACCCATGTTGTCATATAAACTATGCTATCTAATGATATCCAGTCACTCATAAGGTGGAAACGAACCAATTCCAAGAACAAACGCGTTTTAGGTCAATAGTGGATTTAGCTCCTTTGCTTTTTAGCTCCTTTGGCACTTAGCTCCTTTGCTACCTGACCGGCTATGGATTTGGCTCATTTGAAAGGACTTGCAGCGAAAAATTTTGAGTTAAATATGAAAATACTCACAAAATTATATTAGCTCAGATTGGTTTTAGGGAATTGATACCTAATTTTCCAGCAGCAAATATCAGTGTTTTGATCAAAGTAAAATAATTCCCTTCATTGATTTCAAAATTGTATCGCATGAGTAATTTGAATGCGATTCAAAAGCACGGCGCTTTGAAATATCAACTCGCGCACTTTTTGTGTTCCTTCTGTTATGAAAAGGCCATTCATTTCCTCTAATAACAGCACACGACGCGTACATTACCTCTTGCAAAACAACTCTCATCACATTTTGGAGGAGACATTTACAAAGAAGAAAGAGCGCACTGAAGAGGTGCTGCGAGAAGAAGAGAGTCGCCCATCCAAATCTAAATCAGCGTGTCACTCCAAAGGCGCAAAAGTAGCTGCTCTTTGAGTGACACACCAAATTTCCTGTTGCATAGTAAAGACGCCTCTCTCGCTTCCACACAAAGGAAACAGTATGATATTCTTTCCATATATTTTCTAGCACTTGGCAGTTTAAAAATAAAACTGAATTCCTGAATTTTTAAGGCAAAACTGCATAAATTATATTTTGATTCACGGTAAAATGATTGTACGATTTTACTTTTGCTTGATTTGATATTATTTGGTAGCGAGTATAACCAAAATCAAATTGTATTGCTTTCCAAGTTTTATTGCGAGCAACCGTAAAAAAAGATATATTGCAAAAGCTTTTTTAGGCGACAATAATTTACTCCGTTGATGTTTTTCATTGGCGAGGTTGGAATTGTAAATAGTAATTAAGTATTGAATATTGGACGACGCTTCTCAAGCGTATTAAATTTTTTCAATGAAGTATGAAATGAAAAAAGAAGAAGTGAAAATTGCTTTCAAATTCGATAAATTTGATGTTTTTTTTTTTAATAAAATAAACTGCGCAATCATAATTATTTGTCGAATACAAATTAGTTAATCTTAAGTAACTAAAAATTACTACTTTTAGTTAGGCATCTGTGTCACAAATATGATTAATAGCCACCAATCATTCACCTCCTCTCGTAAATAAGCAAATTCATTTCTAAATGAGAACCAATCAATGTCGCAAGAGCAGAATTTCTCGAGCACGACAAGCGTTAATTACAAGTGATTGATGGTGATCCTAATCCACACGATCCATTGATTAAAAATTCATGAACGGAACGCCTTCATCGTTGGGAAAAACGAACGGCCCACACAAATTTGGCATCGTCCGCCCCCCTGTGAAATGAACTAAATGAGAATTAACGTCAACCTGCCAGTTCCTCCGTAGTCTGTAACTAATTAAAACTAAAACTGCCCGTCAGAGTTAAAACACGGCCAGTGAAAATCAACCCTCCCTGAATTGGTGAAATATGCAGCACATGACAGTGCTGCAGATATATCTCTCAAAATAACAATTGCTGGAATTTTGTCAGAAATATTAAATTCTTAAGAGAGACAAAAGATTTCTGATCGAGAAAACTGAGTTAGAAAGAGACAAAAATAAAAAGAGCATCTTGTTTGTTTTCCGCTGGAACAAGTCCTTTGATAAATTCTGCAAACAAAAATAAAATATGAAGGGGTAAACAAAATTAAATTTGGAGAAAGTTCACGCTTCACGCTTGTTTTCTCCAAACTTGTAAAGAAAAGAGTGTTTCTTTTGAATGCCGCATCGCTTAATATAGTTACATTACAGACTCAAAAAGTGGCAAAAGGCAAGGAGGCGAATAAATAACCTCTCATTTTTTAATTCGCCCGAGCGAGTTTCTACTTCATCATAAATTAAGTTATGAATGTTTGTGAAAAATTTCAGTAACTCGGATTTATGCTTTGCAAGGAACAAAAATCAGTTGTGCGAAAAAGGCTGCTCAGCAATGAAATTGCGCTACGAGTGCCTCTCAAAATTTCACCCACGAAAATTTCTCCTCCAAATATGAAAGTCAAAGTGCTGGTCAAACAAAGTCTGAAAAGCTGTGCGTTCAAAAGGTAAAGAGACATTTTTTACACCAAGATAAATACTGTTCAAAAAGGGTGAATTTAATTTTCATGGAAATCAAATTTGAGGAAATACTTGTTTTTATTTGAGAGGATTTTTTTTAGCCAAAAGATAAGTTTTGAGAACGCCTTCCTCTTATTTGCCAGCGTTGAAACTGTACAAGAAAATCGTCTCATCTAATATTTTTCTTCCCAAATGCAGCACGAATATCCAGCATGTTTAAAGTTTTTGATTTTTTAAGTATGAATTGAAAGAGTTACATAACTTATAACTTCATGGTACAAATTTCTAAAACTGGCTGAGCAGTAATTGCGTAATAATAAATAAATAAAACACTTTTTGCAACTAAAACTTTGAATCTTGCTAATTATCGCGCTAGAATTAGGAGACTTAAAGCGTGGAAAGGTTGGAGAAAAGAGTGGCTAAAATAAAATAGCCGCGGGAAGATTCTTTACAAAAATGGAAGACATATTATACAGATCCGAGCTGCTGAAACTCCCATTGTCAAACCTCTCTCGCGGCGCCAGAGGGGCTATGAATTTAGCGACGCTGGTAGCAACTCCATCAGTTTTGAAACTTTTCAATGCTTAAATAACCACCCGAGAAATTTCCCAGCCTTAACTTTTCCGCGTTTTAGGCACCGTTCAAAGTTGATAAACATAATAACGGTTTTCACAAGAGAGTCAAATTTCAAATTTCATCAAAATTTAGCTGTCATCTCATCCAGAAATAGAAATTTTGTATGAGAATTGAAAATAATTGGTTTCATTAAAGGCGACGATTGCACACTGCCGCAAAGCAAGCTTGCTATTGTTTGTTTGCCTTTTTGCTTCTGGAACATCAAACTATCCATTGAAGGCAAAAAGCACCAGCCGATTATTCCACCCCAGCTAGCTATTGTGCCAGCCAAACAATGGGCAGATTCAATTATTTTAATTGCGGACGCGCAAACTTGGCCGCTGAACAGGCATTGATTGCCAGAAACCACGATTCCGATCGTCAAGTAGTGCTCATAGTCGACTCCGTCGGCTTATCTCGCATCACAGCAGGTGCGATAGATTGGTAAACAAGAGAATTCCTTTGTTGGCGCGCAGAGTCAATAAAATAAACACTTGAAATCCTGAATTTCTCCGCAGAGACGCTTTTATTAGCAGGAAAATTGATTTTCTAGAATTAGCATATAATTTTATTGTAAAGTAAAGTGGAGTAAATGGAAAAGCTCTAAAAGTTGGCTACGATACTGGTTATTGTTTTTTTTTAACGCATGTATCAGCATCCACTTCAAACGATTCATCGATTTTCACGATAACAGAATCAATTTCATTAAAAGCCTATTAAATGGAAGGGCCTCGTTTATTGCCAGTTTTGTCAAAAAGCTGCTCTATAAATAAAATAATCGCAATATAAAGGGTAAAAATACTTAATAAAAGGCACTAACAATTATTCAGCGAAGGTTTGGACTGAACGGATCGTAATTATTAAAAATTTGATAAAATTTAATCAATTGCAGAGTGCAGGCAAATCAGATTAGCGTGGGATGTTTAATCTAATTTCGCTGGGAATTTAAATAGCGTACGCACTTGGGCGGGAAAAGAAAAAGCTTTCTCTCGGTCCCTTTGGTTCCTTTCATTAGTAGGATGAATGGAAAGATTCTATTATTCGTCTCATTTGAATTCGTGCTCTCAGCAGGAAAGTAAGTTGGCTCAAAGGGTTGCAACTTAGAGAAGTTGTGCGTATTTTCACTTCTTACAGTTGCACAACTTTTCAATTGTTCAAACACTGCATACAAATATATTTGTTTCAATTTTAACTGTTTTAAATTTTATAAGATCATAATGGAATGAATTAAAAACAATTTAAAAAAAAACTTTTTAAATTAATTTTTTTAATTCATGATCTAAATTTTTGCATTTGGTCGTGAAAATTTGAGGAATGGAAAAATGGCCCAAATTAATGAGTAAATCTGAATATATTATAAGCATAATCATTTTGAAGGACCCTCTTTCAAAACGTCGATTTCCGAGCCATTGCTTTTGCGCACATTCAGATTATTTCTCATCCAGCATTTTGATATAGGCGATGCCTACCCCATTTTAACAATAGCCGAGGGTTTGATACGAGATACATTGCTGATGCGATTTACCTCTAAATGACGCTCTCCTGGATACCGGCCTGCAGGTCGTGCAGTCCATTGTTGTGTTCGTTGCGATGGTCGAACGGGTCGGAGGCAGACTCGGCTTCGCTGATTTTGTTGAGCCGCTCGCCAGCGGCGCTGGCCCCGACCATTAACCGGCCCCGTCAGTACGGCCTGTTCATTGAAGCGCTTCTGCAAAAACTGTTTTATTGACATGCCTTGTTTAGAGAGATCGAAAGACTGCTGGACTCGCGAACGTCTTCGGCATAAGAAAAAAGTTGTCTTGCGACGCAGGGAATTTATTTTGCCCTCCGCCCGTTTCTCTTTCAAATGAGATAGAAGAGGTTCCCCTGAGAGGGTAAAGTCAGAAGAGAGAGTATCTTCACTTAACAAAAAGAGAAACTTCTTTTCGTTTCCAATGTTTGTTCTTCTTTTACAGAAGAACTAAATTTTAGATTTAGTTCTCATTTAACAGAGACTGAAGCAAGACTATGGAAGGAGATTTTCAAATTATGCAACTGGCCACACGTGGTAGTGAGGCAAGTTGCATAACTTTAAAAACTGAATTAATTAATCCTTACGTTTAGTTGAATTAAAAGTGGAAAACCAAAAGTGAAAATTCATTTTTAAACGTATGCTCCTGATAAATGAACTCATTCATTTTTTTAAATTAGTATTTTTAAAAAAAAATTAAGATTATGATATTAAAAAAGGTTATCATATTGAAAAATAATTTAGGTAATTAAGATGATGGAAAAATTTTCTAAGCTAAGACCTAATTTGACTAGTTACTGCTTCTAAATAAAAAATTATAAAAAAAATTGCCGACTGATCATTTTACCTGGTATCAGCATAGCGGACAGAAGTGGTGCGAGAATTAACTGACACGGACATATGTCTTTTTCCATTAAAACTACTGACAGTACCTCGGGGCGGGAGACGTGTTTTTCGACGGAAGCAACACCTGGCCAGCGCCTTGTGGAAGCTCTCGCGGAAATTGCGCGACATAAATCCGTACACAATCGGGTTGATGCAGCTGAAATTAGAGATGCAAGAAGCGTCAGATATCCCACACCAGAGCAACTTTCCATTCCAAAAAGTTGTTCCAGGATTAATTGGATTTCATGCGTGAAAGGGATGAATAAATTTCAAGTGTGTGAATAAACCGCTCTGGGAGCAAAATCCAAATCATGTGGGATTTAGCACGGAGGAATTGGAATTGGGGCGACAGAGAAAATACATGTACAGACAGCTTGAAAGTATATAGCCCCTCTCTGTAGAAGGCATCGGCTTAGCATGAAAGTCAATGAGTTTCCTGTGGAGTTTGCAGGAAAAGCAAGTATAGCACACATCCCTTTAAAGAGGAGTTAAAGTTTTGTACTGAAAGGGGGTATCAAGGGTTTGTGGGTTTGAAATGAAAGCAAACAAACATAAGAGCCGATCTACGTATTTTCTGTGAATAAGAGAAGGCGAAAGGAAACGGACTGAAAAGCTCACCTGTTGAAATAGGCCATTAGGTGGAAAGCAGTGGCCATGTGCTTCAGATTGGCGGTGCGAATGAAAGGGAGAACACCATACGCGGTGAGAACGTTGTCAATCAACACTGGTGCCCAGCAGATGACGAAAAGGGCGACAACAGCAATCAACATTTTCACGACCTGGTCAAAGTTGGACGAGCATTAACCAGAAGGAAGGAGAAAGATTAAAATAATAAATTAGAATGAAGAGCTAAAAAAAGATTGGTACATTCTACATACAAATTCATTAAATTCATTTTAAAGTTTCAATTTACAGGAAAAAAACTAGAGTCGATATATTTCAGTTTTATTGATTTCTATTAACTCCAAAAGAGACTAAAGCGGAAAAATTTTTAGCGCATTAAATTTTTTTCGTCTAGGCTTCATATGTAATTACTTTAAACACGGAAGCTCTTAAAGGTTGTTGGTTTGGCAATATTTTTTTATTGACTTTTAATACATTTATCCATTTTCATTTTTCGCTACTTGTTGGAATTATTTTGCCAAAATCTATTTCTGAAATTGAGATAAAAAATATGGCTGTGAATATTGAGGTTTTTTCCTTTAATATTCTTGATGCGTTTGTGGCTGGAAAATGTTGGAAACGCAGAGCGAGCACTCCTTTGAATTCGGCTCCGAGGTCTAAAAGATGAAAAATCCTCTTTATGCTCCGCACTTTCATTACTTTCATTGCACAAGCCGCCAAAATATATTCAACTGTTCGGTTGCTTGTTTGTTTGTTTATTCAAACAAACCGCCCCAGCAAGTATACGGCACTCTGATATCAAAGGTTTGCGCAATTCAGCTCTGTGCTCCATGTTCTGCGAGACTACCCTTTCATCGGACAAAACCGCAGTTATTAATACCAATACCTGTTTGACGGTTCGGTTGTCATCTTCCGAGACGCGGTTTCTGAGGGCGCTGGAAGAGCTGCTGCGCGACGAGTGACGCATCGCCATGGATCGAGGGGCCCTGCGCACCGACTGCAGCTGCTCCAAGTTCTGCAAACTAGGAAATTTCCAAATTCGATCAGATGAGGGGCATTTCGGGACACCAATATAAATCTGATTGCATGGTAGGTTGTGGCGAAACACAAATTTTCCATCGCGTGAGGCGGTAATGCGATTACCTCTTTTCGCACTAAATCAGATTCCAGATTTTATAGGGGTAGACGAGGGAAGCAGGTAATCTTGACCGTGAGCTTTCACACGCTTGAGTACTTAACTTTAAAGCGCACCGCACTAGCTAAAGCAACACTCCAGTAAAAATAGTTTTCATGTATATAGCCTATGGGCGCACTTCCATTCTAATTTTTAAAAGTGGGGAATTTGTGTTTTAGTTTTTTATAATGCTTTGCATATTATTTCAACAAAGATAAAGTGGCAGCCTAGCAATCACTCTCATCAAAAAAAGGTCTGCTATAAAACTCTTGTTTGAATTATTAAAATTTAAACAAAATTTTCCTGCTCCGTTAATGATAGAAATTGGTTTTATTTCGTAAAATTTAAATTTATAATAAAAAAATCTACTAAAGAATTTATTGATTTATGTGACAACAATCACTATACTGCATCAAAAATAAATATACAAATAAAAAAGTATGAAACTTTTGTCTTCACCTCTTTGTAAAAGTAGTATTAAATATTTCGCCTCTTTGATCAGAAACCTGTTTTGTGGTAAAAATAATTAAAGCAACTTACTTCAACTTGAATCTTAAATTTCTTTTGCATTTTCAAAAGCTAAGGTAAAAACGAAGCTGAAAACATATTTGTGGGTTGAAACTAGAGAGAAAGTTTGAGTGAGAAAGAAATTATTAACTGACTAAACAATAACCGCTCCCTTTGTGTCTTCTTAATTAAAGGCAAACTTTGCTAAATTTGTTGTATTAGTGGCGTTTAGAGCTTCTGTAGCTAATCCAATTGATTGACGGGAGAAACAAGTGAGTTGGCTTTTTGCGGGTTTCATTGTCAGTTGAAGGAGTTCAATTAATATTTATTTTTTGGAATGTGAAAATTTCAAGAAAATTTGAACTCCCTGTCTCAAAGTTATTAATGGAAATGTAAAAATAAAATTAAGTATTCATACCAAAAGGACACAATTAACCTGCCTTTTTATTGAAATAAAGTGGAGCTCCATCATGCGAATGAGCTTAAAATAGATCAATCAAGGAAGGAGCGCAAAGATTTGTAAAAAGTAAGCCAAATATTAAAAATCTTACAGAGAAATCCAATATGGAAAGGGTCATTGTTGGTGGATGAAAGGAAGACTTGCTGCATATTATATCGAGTTACAATGGAGACGCTACGCATACGCGCGCTCGAGTAATCAAACCAAGAATGAGAGTTCGCAGAACAAAGAGATGAAAAAGGCCGGCCAGTGCTCAAACGAAGCGTAATTCCACACGGACCTTAATTAATTTTTACGCGCACCGGTGGCAAAACGATGAAAAGAGAGGAAAAAAGAAGACACTCACCCCTGGCCAGTGGTCATTGTCTGTCGCCGTTTCATCACGCGCCAAACTTCGCAGCTGATGGACGAGTAGGTGGCCCCCATAATGATGGTCGGCACGACCAGCAACAGCAAAAGCATGTACACCTCGTAGGCCTGCCACAGGGTCACATCGTCCCAATTCCGCACGCACCAGTACGCTTTGACACGTCCGCCGACCGGCAAAAGGACCTGCACACAAAAGGCGTAATTGTGGTGGGAAAAAAATACAAAAGGAAAACATTATTGCAGAGAGATTTTTCATTCTTTTTTTCTACGGGCTGCATTCATTTCTGAGGCACGCAAATTTGTTGCTATGAAACGCAAAAATTATCTAGTTGTGACCAAGCACGCAAAAAATTCCCTAATATATTTTAATTCAACGCTTAATTATATCACATATAAATTTATAGTGTTTTTATTTAATTTATTTTTTGTTAATAATTTTTGTAAAATTTGCATATTTAACTTTCAACAATTTACTTAAATTTATTTTTATCTGCTCCGTAAAAACTTCAAAATTTTTCTTCAGTAAATTACACTAAAGTTTAGGATTTTCACTCTATTTTAAAATCTTTTTGATTTTCTTGTTTTGGAACTGAAGGTTTAATTTTATTATGATCTTAAATAGCCACGTTAATTTTACAGCTGTAAGCTAGCAATTTGCAAACCTCTAAAAGCGGCACTAAATTTCTGCGAATGCATTAGTGCAGTCCTTCCTACGTGCAAACAGGAAAGCAGGCACTCAATTTTAATGCCGCCTGGTGCTTCGCGTAAAGCTTGATTTTACTGCAATGAAAAAAGCAAGTGAATGTGCGGCGAGCGAGCCATTTGTATGTGACTTCAAAGAAAAGCATGGCCGATGCTATTTATATTTCAGTCAAAGCATAGCACTCATATTTCCACACACGTCAAAATCAGGCCATCTGCTTTCTGATGAATTGAATTCCATCATTGGCAGCGAGAGATCGAAAAATTAGGTGCGGCTTTGTATGAAATTGAACTGGGATCCCACTCGTTCTTTTTACTCATTCCATCCTTTGAACAGCAAGTAAAAAAGAGAGTAATTTATTCCTTCGGTGGATGATTTGACTCAAAAGAAAATACAATTTTTAGACTCAACAGGAATTTTGATATTCATATTTTTTTTATACAGTGATTAATGTTGAGCTGTAAAACCACAAAAGATAAATTTGAACCAAAATTTGCTTTACTAATCTATTTTAAATAGTTCATTTAAACCGCTTCTAAGTTTTGTCTTTTTTTTTAAATAAATTTCCTGATTTGTTTGTGAGGGAAGAAGTTTTGGATAAGATATCCAAAATTTACAGTTCTAGACAGTTTTAATTTAAATAAGGATATTTTCTTTAATCAACAAAAGCTTCAATAATTATCTTGATTTTATTAAAAAAAAGCAATTGTACTTTAAATGCAAACGAGGAAAACAAATGACGTCAATAAGATAAAACCGTCTCATGTTTTCGTCCGTTTTCCAATCAAACGACAAACGGACGTTGTGCCTAATTAGCATGTTCCTATCATTTTAAATGGCGAGAATCATTGGAAATGGGAAACTCACGTTGCATAGTAAACTGCTCTTAAGGATAACGTTGCAATAAAGGAAAATTGCCTCTCTCTTGTCCGTTCGCTCTTTGCATTTGAATGCAGAAACGGATCAATGACATACCATTCACTCAAGTGGCAACAAAGGACGATTTTTTTCTTGGGGATTTGGTGGCAGAAAAAAGTGACATTCACTGGGCAGACGGGGAATAAAGCGATAGATATAAAAAGGAGAGACGGACAAAACCCCACAAAGAACTTTTGTCACGACTAACGATAAAAAGCTCAAGAAAAAATTATTTAACAATTGTACTCGCCACCTCAACCGTATTTCTCATTGTCAGTGGGTTTAGCTTTAATTTTATATCTCGTTATCGTCTCTTATGAAAATGACTTCTGAAATGATCGCGTTAGAAGAAAAAAAAATCAAAGATCTGTTATTCTGAATTGAAAATAAAAATAATTATATTAAATAGAATTTTAAAGGCTTTTCTAATAATTGTTTGTTTTCATCAGCGCTAAATTTCGTTCAAATGCGAAGTGCAAACAACATCCTGTTCAAATTTGAAGCCTGAAGCAAACCAGGGCAAACAAATTTCATCTCATTTTTTGCCAAAATTTTCCTCGATATTTCTTGCACTGTTTACGCCCACGGTACAGTGAGACAAATGAGGGGCTTTCTTCTATGGTTCGTGGCGTGACAAGAATAAATGCGCAAACATTCTCAAAGAACGGCAAAACAAACTGCTTTTTATCGATATTTGCGTAGCAATTTCTCTTCCCGGAGTTGAAAATTACCGTCGCCTCGTGGCTTTTGTTTTCTTTGGAATTTCCAGGTGAACCTCAAACAATAATAAGTGAGAGTAAAATCATTCAACATTATTTTCAGTGGAGCTTGTGTAGCGAAAGTGAAATTAAATTGTATCTAGAGTACAATAAGAGGATGTGAACCGCAGATTCATTTGCAGGTGCCCGCTTTGCATAATGAAGCACTTCAAACAATCAAATTAATATAGAAAGCACTTGTGGCTAATTATTTGTAATCTAATTTAACATTTGCCCCAACACTCATACGCCATTTCATTAGGAAATTTGGCCCCAATGTAAATATTGATTTACGCGGTAAATGTTCACTACTGTGATATTTATTGACTTTTGCCCAAGGCTTATTTACACATCATTGTAATATTATATGTTACATCGCAAAGATCATTAAGGCTGAATAAATAAACTAATAACGCACTCGCAACGAGGTTGGCGAAAATTCAAAATTATCAAAAGCAAGCTGGAATAATTTCAATCACGTTCAGCACGTTCGTTGACAAAAAGGCAGCATGGTCGTCTCTGCTTTTTATAACACATTAATATAGGCGAATATTTTTAGCAATTTTCCCAACTTGGCGTGCTTCTGTGTGCGCAAACACATCTGCACGTCCTGTGATTATTAAAAGTGACGCAAGAGAGAGGAAAATTTATGCTCAGTGAGTCGTAACATCATGTATATTTACATATAATACCCTTATGAGCATTACAATGGGTTGATTGCCAGGGGACACTTTTTAATTAAAAGCGTACAGAGGAAAAATTTGTCGTGATTGGTCAAATTAACAAAAAAATGTGAATTCATAAGGTTGTTAATATTTGTTCAAATCAACGTTAAAACAAAAAATTATTCATGTTTATTTTCCGCTTCACATGTTTAAAAGATTTTGATGTGCAAATAAAAAAAGGAAGCGTTTCAACAATGCAAAACAAAATTTTCAAATCCACGGCTTTTTAATTATTTAAGGAAACCAATACACACAAGTTTGCCTAATCACAAAACCTAGACGGAAAAAAAGGAAAATAAATACATGATCACATTTAAAATGATTATAATTTTCCGTGTTTTGATTTGGATTTTGTATTTACAAATAACAATGTTGTCAACAAATCGCCGCTGATACCAACGTTTATTCTTGCCAAAAATTGTGTCTCTCTCACACAATTTGGCAAACGTTGTTGGCGCATTAATAAAACAGAGATGGTCTTACCTGTACAAAAAGAATAGGGATGCTGAGCAGGAAAGAAGCAGCCCAGGTGCCCAGAATGATCTTGCTCGCTTGGCGAATGGTGCACGTGTACTTGGCCCTCATGGGATGCACGATCGCGTAATACCTGCGAACACAATGTGCAGAATCATTACTTTTCTCTCACTTGAACCGCAACATATTGCACAGTTGTCGTTAAGACACGCAGAGTCGGCGGCCATGTTTTTGTTCCTTCCGCACTTTTCTTTTCCCTTCCTTTTTTCCTTTCACGGCAAAGTCACTGAGCGTGAAAATCAGTAGAGAGGGAAATATTCATATGCCGCGGATCATTATGAGAGGTAGCTTCACCTAAGTTTTAAAATGTTTCTTTTATATTCTCAAAAAACGTCACGGCGACACTCTTTTTCTCCCTCCCTCTCTCAAAAACCTCTTTTAATGTTTTGGAAAAAGCACTTTCTTTAAGCTGTATATTTAAAAAAAAAAGTGAGAGATTTTGACATTGATTTTGCCAGGCAAGAGAAATTACTTGTTTGCTGTTATAGGTCAAAAATAAGAATTTCCCCAATTGCCAAAAGCGCCCGAGAGAAGTGCAGCGCGAACAAAGAACATATCGACTGGAAGAGAAGCTGACTACTGCCTTCGCGAAATCCAATACCAAACGAAAGAAAATCATTTTCCCATTTAATTTGGCACCGTGAAGTGTAGATTCGATGGGTCGCCAGATGTGATCGGCGACTTTTGTTGTCAGACAATAGCGAACGCTGGAGGGGGTTTCAATACGTTCCGAACTAAAAAGGCATCAAGCAATTAATTACTATTCCCGAGAAAAGCTCTTATTCCTCAATGTGACTAATGGGAGTTGTCACCTCCAGTAAATTGCGCCTTGTCGACAATTCAAGACAAATGTTGCTGACGAAAAAACGGATTTATTTATAAAATGCTTGCGCTCACTTCTATTTATTTGATTTTTGTTCAATTGGGCGTGAGCAGTGGAAAGGTCTGTAGGGCTATATAAAAGCGCTTGAGTTTTATATTGCTTGAGCGTTCCAAATGGGTTTTCAATAAGATAGATCGAGTCGGTCACACCATTCCTTTTCGAAAGAGAGGAAAAACTTTAAGCGTGCGCTCTTTTGCTGCAAATCTTATGATGACTTGAAAAAAGTTATTTTCAAAATTTTCACTCATTGCTATAAAGGTTAATGGTTTAAAACATAATTTTCTATCTTGTCTTAAAGACAAGTATTGTGCTATGATTTATGACCATCTTTTAAAAAATAATTAATTTGTATTAAAATCTTGAGCATCATATCATGGCGTGAGGAAAACGTTCCAAAAAATGTGCTATATAAATGTAAAAATGCAAATTGACGAGTTAAAACTAATAGAAATTAACGCTTTCAAAATTCTGGTAAAATTTGATCTGAAAAAGTGACACAGACTAAAAAATAACTTTTACTTTTGCTCTGGTATTTTTTATTTTGGTCACGGGAAGCGTCGCCTCGTGAATGCCAAAAACAGATGGCACATACTAACTATTAATTTTGCCAACACGCTACACACGTTATCGTGCTTCATCACAATTCAGCCTTAACTAACCGCAAGAATTGTCTTCCCAAGAGCGGTTTGGCCCGCCGATCTGAACTTGGTCTCCTCTGGGAGGGGAAATATGTTCACTTGGTGCACACACACAAGAGGATTGAGATCTCAAAACGTGATTTGGCGAAATTAATTAACACTCCTCGAAATTCCACGCAGGAAATTAATTCAGCATATCTTTATAATTACTAAAGCTTAATTGATTCAATTTACTCCAGTTGCTTTGACTGTACTTGAAAGGGGAAATTTAATCTATTGGACGAAATTAATTTTGTTTCGGCTCTACGCTTTCGATTCAATCAAAGTACATACAAGGGAACAGCGGTTGGTTTTTCACACCCCACATAGAATTCCTTTTGTAACCCTCGACTTCGTCAATGAGATTGACGCGATAAAGAAAAAGGAGGGAGCGTGTTTGGGAAACAATAGTTAACTTTGTGATAAATGAGATGAGGTTTCCTTACCCCACGAAGGGGTTTTTGTGAAAAAAATACAAGTAAAGTGAAATTTTAGGGTGGCTCTGACAGTTTTTATTTCTGATTTCAAACTAAAGCGGAAAATCTAAATTCTTTCTCATTAATCGGAACCAACATTCAAAACCGCATTCAAAATATGGAAATTCCATAAATTTTGTTACATTTTTTCTGCAGTAAAAATTTCCATTTGAATCACGCAAAGCAGTGCACGCAGAACTCAATGTAAATTTTTATTTTTTTTTTTTTGCAAGGGTTTTTACGTTTAGCACGCAATTTGCATTAAGCAAGCGATTCAACCCTGAGATTTGTTTTTCTACCCCCAGGCGCCATGGGAGATGATCACCGGATAATTAAATGCAAATGAGGACGCTCATGTAAATATTATTAGAAAAAAACTTTTGTCATTAGCTGACTCTCGTCCGGATTTTCAAAGAGCAGGCGCGTTTGTGCGCAAATAACAATAATGGATCACCTGTGCAGGCAGCCAGATGAATTGCTTGAGAGCAAAAGCAAGAGAGGACACGGGGAACGACTCTCTCACTCTCGGCCTTTTTCAACCGTGCGACGACACTCAAAGCGAAAAAGGCAGAGAGCATGCAAGGGTGCGCATTTTAAATATAGTGAGCCAAGCGCGTGGGCGCGATGCATTGTTTAAAAGAACCCTTTGTACAACTTTGTTTATGATATGGAATAAAAATGTTGACGCTCCTTTGCGGCCATGCACATTTTCATGATTTATTAAATGAGTTTTGAAACAGAAAAAAGCATTTTAAATATTAAAATTTTTATTTAAATCTGTTTTATTTAACTCATTATAATTATTCATAAAATATTGCAAAATCTTTTTTTAGTCAATTTCTTTGCGCAGAAAAGTTTATGAAGGAACCCCGAGAAAATAACAAAATATTTTAACAGCTTCAGATAAATTAAACGTTCGTTACTTGAAATTAAATTTAAAAATGTTGTCGACTGGTGAGCAAGCACCAGTTGCAAAAGATTTATAGTATCGTGAAAATATCTAGGTCACGCAAAAGCCGAGTTGTTTCCAGAGCGTTTTTTACAAGATGAATGTGCTCTAATTATAGCCAAATGAATTATAAATCTTAATTACAAATCGCTCAACTCGCACAAGAAAAGTTTTTACGACTCCAGGACATTGCCTTAAAGTCTCAAAACCTATTAAATTTCAAGGGTGTTATTGGATATTTGCCCTTCTCTTGATGAAATAAGCGCTTTAGTTGACAAGGTGTCGCATGTTGTGACTGCTTAGTTGTTTGAGGCTCTGTAATTGCTTTAAGCATTTGATCACGTTGCTTAATTACAATTAAACGGATTTCCGTTTGCACAATACGGTATTATTAGGAAGCTTATAATTAGGTAAACAGTGCTCTTGTAGAAAACGTGAGCGGCAAAGTTAAAGCATTTTTGAGAATTTAAACTTAATTCAACATTTTTTGTTAAATATGAGCTCCGTCGTTTTAGTAAAATCTGTTATTACCTTCTCTTTTTTTTTAATTTTATTCAAAAATAATTAGTTTAATTAGCATGCATTAAATATTATAGAAAATTTTATAAAAGCCATGTTAATTTTTTTTAGCTTCTTCTATTCTTACATAAATTCTTATTTTATTTACCCTGATTTACCCCACAGCTACAGCTATTATGTTACAAATTCAATATGGGGTTTTAACAACAATATATCAGGAAAAAATCTTGTAACTCAACCCCCTAAAGCCTGTTCCGCAATGAAGCGTTGGCGATATTGAGAGCAAGGAACTTATAACATGTCCTTCCACTCCAGCTCTTCGGGGCACAATATTATTAATCTCATAAATCTGAGGCGCCGGAAAGAGAAAACGTGACCGGCCTTTTGGGTCCTATGGGTATCTTGACAACATAAACACGCACCTCTCAGTACTCATGGCGGTCAGGGTCAATACCGACGAGATGGCTGACACGTTCTGGATGTAGTGCACAGACTTGCAGAGAAACTCGCCCATGGTCCATGTGTAGGAAAACAGCTTGGCCACCTGCAAAACGAAACAACGCGCAATTTTTAATATCAAGAAACACAAAGGATCTCTGAAAAATTGTAATTATTGAACAAAATAAAAAAGGAAACGTTCCATTTATAAAACTTATAAAAAAAGGTATTTCCAATTTCTAAAAAATTATTATAATTATTTGTTGCAGTTCGATTTTATTTTTATTTTAATATTTAACATTGAGAATAAAATATGGGAAAAGAGCGCAAGACAAGTATATTAGGTTTGCTGCGTTATAAACCAAGGGAGAATAAGATTCGCTGTTTAGCGGAAAAACATTTATCGCCCGCAAAGCGTGAAATGAAAGTATTTTCCCATAAACCGGCTGAATCTCATTATGGTGTCATATGGCGTTGCGATGCTCCCAGCCGCGTCGCTTTTTTCCTTATTTCGCGGCGCATCTTGAATTTTTGCTATTTACGACGCGGACGTGCACCAGCGACGCGCCGGCAAGGATAATTCGTCTCTGGGCGCGTCCTTGGCTCGCTATTCTCAGCGAGGAAAAGTTAAACACGGTCTATCTGCCGGCGATATTAGCAGCCAGTGCGATAAGAAATTATGTGCCGAGAGCAATTTGTTCGTCTCTGCGGCCAGCCAAAGAAGTCTAGCTAACTGTTCGCTCCATTACTTTTATTGGCGGCTGAGTGAATTGCTCTGATAATTGCTTCGCCTTCGGCTGACGAGACGCCGCCGCCGTCTTTCGAAGCCGCCGGCGAAGAAGTTAATTCTGGGCTGGCCTTTTGACCCCTCCACTAATTGGAAAAAGAATAATAATTAAGCAAGTTTGGAAGGTAGTTTCCAATTCCCGTGAGACTTTCACTTTCGTTCACCAAAATGATTCGAAAGGGGGGAAGTTTGTATTTGTTTACAAATAAACAATGGATTTTTAGAACTGAATGAGTGCATCGAGCAGGAAACAAGATACGGAGCTTTTTGAATTGCAAGTCTTTCTCTTTCTAAATTAACTAACCCCTGTTCACGCTTCGCAGCTTTCGGAAATAATGAGCGCCCTTCCCATTTTGCGACCTGAAAATTTGCCAAATAAAGCAGAGACCGCTGACAATATAATTAGAGTAAATAGTAACAGGAGCGCGCATTGGAAAAGGAAATCAGAGCGCAGAGAATGGCAACGGTGATAAATATTTATGCGCCGGTTCATTAATAATTTGCTGCGCAGCAAGTGTGTGCTGCTCCGCACTTGGTTCCATTTGTCACCCACATTGACAGGTGGATCGCGGCGTGCCGAGTACATTTCCATTGAGGCCGGCTCATTTGCAATGCAAAATTTTTACCACCCTGAGAGTTATTGAGTGTAGGAACACGGCCTAACAGCCAAAGAAGACATAAATCGAGCTAGATGCGGGCTCTTCAAAATTGATTTAAAAGACTAAAGGGGAGAAATAAATAAATAATTAAATTTTAATTTTAATTTATTAGAACCTGTAGTTCATTCATTCCGATTCATTCTATTAATTTATTTTTGTTTGTTTAACAATTATTTTTAAAGGGACGTATACAAATTTTAAATAATATTTTGAAGCTAAAAAAAGTTGTATTTTAAATTTTGGTGAAAAAAAAATTATTGTGAACCAAATTAGGTCAATTTTAATGCCATGAAAAGTAAAATAGGAAAATTTTATCTTTAAATAAGGCAATAAAAATCCTCCCATTGACATTGATTTACATAAGTCGCAAGAGGGTCAAGCAAAAGCCTCTCCAGGTCAAGAGGCAGAGCAACTGGTTTGACTCAAAAGTTTATGGTTTTCGTTTCAGTGACATGATGCACTTGTATGGCAGAGGAGTTTTTCTTTCAATTATACTGGCCGGTGGCGCGGCAAATACGTTACTTTGAAGTGCTCTCATGCGAGTCAATTGCAGAATGAGCAGCTCCGAACCGACACTCTCGCGTCGTTATTAACGATGCAACATTACGTTTGACAAGAGGAAAGCCGGTTGCCCGCGCGCGTTATGTAATAAATGCATTGTTGGTAATGGCAAAATGAATAATGGAATGCGGCCAGCCCCTGCGGTGGCCCCGGAGAGATTGGCTCTTTGAAATATTGACACAAAGATTAAGATACCAAGCTCCAACTTCTGCTTGCCAATTAAAAGCACGACTCGATTTCAATTTTCACAGTCAAAGCTTTCTGGTTTTGGTAAAAGTGCAAATTCTCGTTAGGAAAAGAGAGTTGCCATGGAGACGGACCGATGTGCTTGGCTGCTCAGCTAGATTGGTGTGACTTACGAGATGTTTCAAAAAATTTACACTTTGCCCCCAACTATCAATGGTGTAAAAAATGAAAGAAGCTCACAATATTTTGGTTTTAATTCCTCCTGCAGCTCAGATATTTTTATTTCAAACTATATATTTTAATTTCTTTAACAATTGATGCAATTATGAAATTTTAATATGAAATTTCCCTCCCGAAACCAGTGCAATTAATTCACAATCAAACGCAGAAGCCCTTAAGACTGCTGCGTCAGAAAGGTATAAGGATTTATTTGTATAACTTCTTGAATGCATGAATGTTCTCATCTGGCTTGAAATGAAATTCCATTTTGCTTAGCCGGAATTAATTCATACAAGTTGTTGACGAGTGTTAAATTTTCAAGCAAACAATCAGCCGCAGGAGATTGCTGTGCATTAATACGGCCAGACGGTTGCTTGCTTTAAAACACAATGAGCCCCTAGGCAAGTTGCATGAATTTACAAGAGTTGTGCCGTGCTTTACAAGTTCACACAGGAGCTCTCAGTGCATAACAAATAACAAACAAGTTGGTGGGAGGTCCAATATTCATTTCATTTTGATGCCTTTCAGCTACCAAGATATTGCGAGTGTCATGCTCTATAATTACAAACATAACTAACAACAAGGTTGTGTTCCAGATGGAAAAATTCCAACTCTAATTGGAATGATAACTAGGAAAATTATTAGCTTCATTTATTGTGAGCTATAGTTGTTGCATGGTTTGTTATTAATTAAAATACAGAACATAATTGTGAAAATAATTTGCATTTTTTTAAGTGGTCTTTTACCTCGTTTATTCTTCTCAATTCATAATAAAATGTCTTCCAGTTAAAAAATTTATTTATCTCCAACATGAAAAATAAACTATACATCCCAAAGAAGGATAAAAAAATGTCGGTTAATGTGTGAAAAAACCAAATGTTTACATTCTTATAAATTTTCTGACATTTTAATCATAATCCAGGATACTTACAAGGAAATGTTTTCACAACCAAAACCACTAACCGTTGGCATAAGCTTGGTGAACATTTGCTTTCTTCTCCACTCAAGGATCAATTAAGTGAATTAGCGTGTGGCTGCGGGCCAGATAAGGCCCTGCAGGAGCAGACAAACAAAACGCTCTATTTGCGTCCGTCGTTGAGGGATCTCTGCCTCGTCCAATGAGCGCATCAGGCTTTTCTTCAGCAACGTTTGATAAGCCGAGCGCTCGCCATTTAATTCGCAACTCTCACCAAACAAAGACGAGATTATGGACGTGCGGGCGCTAATATCGCTGGGCAATAAGCCCCGCCAAAAGAAACAATTCTTCGCTCTGAAATTGCCTCGGTAGGCAACCGGCTCGTCGCCTCTGCGCTGCGGGGTGCATAATCCCGAAAAAGCAACCGAGGTGAATTCCACCCTCCATCCCCCACTGGGACGAGTGCTGCCTCCAATTCATACTTCTGAGAAATACAGCTACAAAAGCTGATGTTTTTATCCTTTTGCAATTTTCACGACTGACATTTAAAATGAATTTTGATGTTGGATACCCCTTGGGCTTTTATTCTTTTTCCACATTTTATTTTTGTCGCGGCAATAAATTTTTTATAAATGACGTACGGTCTTTTTTATTTATTATTTGTGAGGTACAATAAACGTCACTGCGAACGATTCCTAAAATAAACATAAAGACAATTAAATTAAATTAAGCCTGCAGGCTAACTTAGTAATTCAGAGGAAGGAAATTTGGCTGCCCATCAGGCTTGAACAGCAATTAATTTTTACAGCATTTTGCCTGCGAAAATCCCACCTGAAAAAAATATTGTAAGGTAAATACAAAGCACGGAAAATTCATTTTGACGTCTAGTGGCTGTAATTTACAGCCTGTTAAGTATGTTGGAAAAATATAAGCCTTTTGTTTTTAATTTTTCAGGCACACTGAGATTAAAAAAGATGGCAAAATGTTAATAAATTGACGTTTACGCCCTTAATATACAACGGTTATTCGAATTCATCATCACTGTTTTTTAGAAAATGCTTTTTAATTTACCACAAAAGGGAAAAAGGAGATATGAAATTTCATGAACGCTCCCCAAATTCCAGTAATAATTGTTGTATAAAAGGCACTGTCGTTCGTACAAAGGAGATCATTATAAATGGTATAAATAATGCAGGGAGGAGAAGCCTCAAAGAATATTTTGCAGTACTTTTTCTGTCCTGTTGCTGCGGGGGAGAGGTATAAAGTGAGAGAACAGACCTCGCATGAAATGTAATAAAAAGTGGAAAATATCTGCGCCGAGGGAGGGAAATTAGAGGCTAAACGTGGGAGATGATTTTCTTTTGCGACGGCCGACCACTCTGTGCCATTGTGACACTCAAAATCCCTCAGAGTCGTAACTTTTGCGGTGGGGCGGAAAATGATAACAATTTCCAAGACGGGCAATGAAACGACCGAGACCAAAAGAGTATGAGGCGAACTGTTTATTGTTGCAAGAAGAAACATTTTCGCTTCGTTTCCTCCTTCATTAGAGACGTTTTTCTCGTGGGAGGTGTCCTTCTCAGACCTAGCAAAAACGCGAGGTTAATAAAAAAGCACAAAACTTTTAATGACTTGCTTTTCTAGTGATCTCTAGTGGGAAATAGGTTATTTTGCATCTGCTATAAGTTTTTCTTCATGAGCAGTTTTCTTTGTCAAAAGTCACAAAGAAGCATGTTTTTATGCTCTATATAGCCAAACTTTTCTTATTTCCTTTCCAA